TTCCCCACCCGGGGGAAATGTGTAAGAAAAAATATTTTTTATTTAAAAAATTCTAAATTTTATGTTTCATTTTGTTTAAAAGCAATAGAAATTTGTGCCTTTCACGATTACAATTAATGGAACCAATAAAATATCGCTTTTGCCTTTGCTCGAGATGATCTATATCGTCTAGGGTAATCTTGTCACAGGAATAAAGAATTCGAATATAAATATCGTATTGTTTTGAAAATAGGCCTCTTCTGATCATAAGCTAAAATCGTATTATTTTTCGCATATTATTTATGTAGATTGGCGATAGTATTTTCTTTAATGACCCCAACTTAGTCGCATATATAATTCAGTTTTTTTTGTTGTTTGTTTCCCCCTAGGGGAAGTAACTCTCAACCTCAAGGAAATAATTTTATTAACACAGAAATAGAAGAATTACACAAATACACCTAATCAAGATTGACGAAGAACTACGGAAACAAATACTGTTATCAAAATGGAAATTATTTACCTTATCGGTAGGATATTCGCCATTATTCAAATTTTAAAAGCATACCTGTATGTGCTCTTGTGGCCCTTAATAATAATAAATATAGGCCTATAAGGCACGTCATTAATTAATGGGAAGCGTTATACGCAGTCGGCTGGGAATTTAGCCAAATAAGGTTTATTACCGCTAGTTTGGCAATTAAAAAAAAAAGTATTATGCATAATTAGCTGCATTATGTATTGTTTTGAACTATAACTTTTAATGTGTTTAATTACCGTAAAATTTTAATTGAATTAATTTTAATTAATGTTGAATGATAGTAATAGTATTAGTATTAGTGCTATTATTAGTATCATTGCTTGTATTTGTATAATCTTACATATTATAAATCTAAGTCAAAGTCTACATTTCTTAGAGTCTAAGCCTGAGAAGATGATTTTTTAAAAGGCATTTCTATGGTCTAAGTCTAGTTCTGTATTCTTATTGATTAGTTTTTTATATGTTGCTATGACCATCATGTGGTTGGTTTTACTGACTGATTCAGGAAATACATTCTATTTATTTTTAAAAATTATATAATTTATAATTTTTTTTTTGGTGACATAAATGTAACAGTTTTCAGCTTCCATGCAAAACTATAACTGTTTGAAAGTATTGCTTACATACAGTGCCCTCTCTACAGAACCCCCTGCCCCTACAGCTATTTTTTCTGCTACTCACCACCCCTGATTATAATTACTGTACCAGAGAAACATGTTTTTATCTGCCACAAAATTAGTTAACAGCACAAAATATATATTAACAATACAAACATATAATATGATAATTATAAGAATAACATTATTATTATTAACCTTACATTGGTCAAGTTAATAATTCTTATCAAGTTTAAACATGTTTTAGCCACAACAAAATAAAACAATAAGCCTAGCTGGTTTTGCTCCATTCTCGAGAACAAGCATAACAACTAATACGTATTCATGGCTGACCTTCGGCTGGAATTGAACTCCAGTCCACCAGCTTGAGGTTTGCTCAGTTTAGACCATTCGACCACCCAGTCAATCTGATTAGTAGGCATCTTTATTGATTGATAGTGTAACACAGGACTCATATAGACCTCACGTGACTTGCCGACTGCGTATAACTCTCAGGGTTATACGCAGTCGGCTGCGCATAACCACTTCGTTAATTAATACTCAATTCACTCATCAATGATTCAAAGTCTAATCTAGTTGACTTAATTTTTAATCTTAAATAGTTACAATAACAATAGTAATAGTCGACACTACGACTTGGCCCTACTCCTAGTCTACACCTGTTACTTACTATTCTGACTATACTAACTAAGTAAATGTATATATTTTCTTTGGGGGCCTTCCATAAATGATTTCATGGCATGGGGGGCGGGGGTGTCATTTTTTGTGACGAGGTGAGAGTAGGATTAAGTAGATACTTTGGTAAACCAAGGGAGTACTATTTTTTGTGTATCGGCGCAGAAAAATCTGAGTTTTTAATTTTCCGATGTGTGTGAGTGTGTCTATTTATTATTAAATTAGGCATTTCGATAAACGCTTGCGCATTCAGTTTGCGCATATGGAAAAAAGATGCAAAAACTGAAGTGGCCATCTTACAATCGCATCTACGGTGACCTCGGATTTATGCGTTTTACGTCATAGTTTCCGATTTGTACATTTATTTGTCATCAATTACGATTAATATTTTTTGTCCGGTGACGCACATATCTTTAGACCAACTTGCTTTATCTCTGTTCTTTTTTTGTGTCACTTTGACGGTACGGTGAGCTATAAAAATGTATAAATACTCCGTTTTAGCAATAAAATGACATTAAAACCTTTAAAAAGGAGTTAAGCATTCAAATGGGGTAGGGAATAACTTTGAAATAGTCTATATTCTATTTTCTAGGTTAATATAAACCTTTCTTATTTTCATCACGCTCTCATCACCGGAGGGAAAAAATAAATTTCTCCATATTTTGTATCTTCACCGGAAACGAAATTCGCTCTCGGTATCAGTCAAAAGAGAGTTTTAATATTCCATAATCTTTTAATATCTGAATAAATCTAAGTAAATTGTCATTTTAGAATACAGAAATCGAAAATATAAATAAAATCTAATATAAGTTTGCTTCCACCAACTATTTCTAGACCTTCAACTACAATTTAACTATAATTTATAAGTCTATTCTTCTAAATCTAAGCTTAGCCACTAAGCCTAAGTTTAGTAAGTTTTAAGTACCGGTACTATTTACTAATCTCTACTATAATTATAACTATTAATATTAAGCCCCAAAGTTTAATAAACTAATACAAATTTTCTAATACTACATAAGGCCTAATTTACATATTCAAATTGTTATCATATTGATAATTTCCAAATTTGGTAAAGTAAAGAGAAATTAAAATAGTTTTAATAATAATAATTAAATATTAATAGTAAATGAAAGATTTATTAAAATACATCAAATTAATAAACAATACTCAAACAACATCATCATAGTAATTATATTTTTATTAGGACATAGAAAAGCAGTACACAGGCAATTATTTGATTTATCAAATTAAATAACATTTTTGAACTTAGTCTCATCATCATGGACATTGATGATTTCATTTGAGTAATTTTTATTTATAATTACATGCGTTCAATTTTATATATAAAAAAGACTTACTTACCTTTTAATAAATAGAATAATTGATTTAAGTTTTAACACAAGCATAATAAAATTAGTTAAAATTCAATAAACATGTTATTTTTTTCGTTTTTTCCTGTATAAATAATGATTTTCCCAATTTTTCTGTTCACTTTTTTCTGAACATACCCTTAAATAAATTTTAAAAAAAATAAAAGTCTTGATGTTGTACAAAAGTTTTGTTGTTTATTGGGTTGTATATTGCATTGAGAATGTCTCCTGAAAATTTGGTAGCATTATCTTTTAAAATCAAAAAGTTTTGGGCAAAATAAGGCAGAAATTTGTAAAGTGGGTCACACGTTTTTTCAGTTAAATACTAAGATAAAGAAGGGGTTTTTAAAAAATCACCAAAAAAATCATAACTCCATAAGATAGAAAGATGAAATTGATGTTGTTGTAAAGCTTATAGCTAGCCCTTTAAAATGATGTATCATTCATGGCAATCGGAAAATATTTAAATTTTGTGTCAAAGTACCAAAGTAGGTGAACAATTTTTAATTTTAAATGTAGGATTTGCTCTTAAAAAGCCCCAAGCTAGTCATTACTCTTTAAAGATTAGCATATTAACGATAAGTCATATTCTCTTCTCGTTGGTGTTAGTTTCCTTGTTTGATAACTGCATATTTAGTACATATAAAATACTCCAATAAAATATTTTACATTTTAAGGTGGGTTTTTGTGTTCATCAGGTTGGCCATCAAGTAGCCCTAAGATCATCCGGAGTCAATGCTAACAATAATGCAAATGGATTCACTTTTCTACAATCAACATTTTCAGACATTAATGCTAACTTGCAAACATCAGAGGTATTAAACCATAGTTAAAACCTAGAAGAAAAAAAATATGTTAATTTTGTTTACTCCATTTTATCAATCTTATTAAATAATTTAAGTTTAATTTTTCACATTAATTTTGCAAAATATCCGTAGACTCAAAATTGCAATATTTCAAAATTCTGAATTGTCATGTTTTTTTTAAATAGGATAAATGTTGTATGTTTATAAAGTATTACAACAACATTTCTCGAGATGAAAGAGCAGCTTTTTTACGTGACCTTGCAAAAAATTATGGCATTCATCCAGAAAATGTAGTCACTGTTGCAAAGACAGCAGTGGCTGTAAAGGTATGTTGTTTGCATAAATATACAACTTAAAATTCTTTGAAAAAACAGCAAGGTAAGGAAATACTCCTAACTTGTTTCCTTTTACAAATTATGTAAATGTTATAATTACCTTAATAAAATTTTGATTTTTTTATTCTTCAATTAGTTTTTACAAATTGAAAAAATCTTTTGACATTTATGACTAACAAGTATGCCTGCAATTGCTTACTTTAGGACAAAGGAGATGTTAGCCTGTTAGCTTCATCAGAGAAACTGCGGTCAAGTCTAAAACCAAAATTCAAAACATTATTTACACATATTGGAAGGGTAGATGGAGGAGTGAAATTTTTGGTAGACTGTCGAGCTGATGTCCTGGTAAATGCAATTTTTAATAATTATATCATGCACTAATACGTTTGTTTGCTCTAATTATTTTACAAAAACAAAATAAGTTTATAAAAATGTAGCTTCTACACGTATACCCCTTAATATTGTTTTTAGGATAATATGGTAGAGACCGTGCTCAAGCTTTGTGGATGAAATATTAAGAACAGGATTTGTAGAAATTTGAATGACAACATGAGAAAATCAAATCAACAATTTGGCTGAATGCTTTCCTCTTCAGGCACAACAAACACACAAAAAAACAAGATAGAATCAGACAAAAAGGAAACATAATAAATTGTAGAAAGATCTAAACAGCAAGTTTTATATTGTTTTATTGATACAAATCGGTCATGTCTAATTCATATTTAAATCTATTATGGAGACATTACCAAGGAACAGTTTAATACAGTTACAGTCTAATGATTTTAGTGAAAAGTTTAATAGAAAATGCCAAAGTTTCAAAATGTAAATACGAAATCAATATAAAAGGGAAAAATTAAAGTACTTGAGTGACAACATGCAGCAATGTGGTACATATAATTTGAATTACTTAATTTCCATTCCTTATTCTTGCTGTCATATTAGGGTATGAAAGCAAGGCTGTGATGAATACATTCAATGTGTCTTATGTTGCCTTCGTTAAAGTGGGATGAAGTGGGACGAAGTGGGACATTTTTTTCCTTCAAAATTTTGAAGATGCTCACTAAATCTTATCTGACAGTCTTCTTCCTGTCTCACCTATATAACAAGAGTAACACTTTCGGCAACAATCACATAGATGACACTGCTACTAATACATGTGAACCACTCATTGATGGTAAAGGAGCTCTAAGAAGAAGTTAATTTGTTTAGTTTCAAGTACATGTGGGCAAGTTCTGCAACTGCCTTGTTAACACTGGTTTTAGTTGGTTAACCCCTTTGTGCATCATCAAACATTGTAGCCTATGTAAACACTGTTTTATAGCACACTTCTCAAAATCAAGAAGTTGACCATTGAGTCTATCTTGATCAGAAATAAGATATTATCTGATGTATCAGTTAAATATAATTCATATTTAAATTGTATTTACTTAATAAAATAAAAATCATATAATCATATTTAAAGTTAAAGAACCTAAACATTCAAGTTATGTGTACCGTTATTATACAGTTCAATTTAAGACTAGTTAAAACAAAACTTATTTTTAGACCACACACCCCTCCCCCCCCACCCCCCATTTCCCATCTTTTTGCCTACCCCCTTTTCCAGATAAATTCTAGGTGATCACTCATTAAGAAATAAGATAATTTTATTAGAATGTGTAAAACGTGAACAAAAAAAAAAATAATTTTTAAACCCCCCCCCCCCCCCCCCCCCCCCCCCATTTCCCATCTTTTTGCCTACCCCCTTTTCCAGATAAATTCTAGGTGATCACTCATTAAGAAATAAGATAATTTTATTAGAATGTGTAAAACGTGAACAAATTGACAAGCTTGGAAGGGGGGGGGGGTGTTACAGAAAATTTGAATAGATGTATAAAATGTCACAGTGACAAATGCCTTATCAGTAATAGTATAGCATGACCTATCAACTATAGTGAATGAAAGTGGAAACACACAAAATTGACAGGAGCATAGAAATGAAAAACACATTATCATAGACAACACAGTAGCATATGTAGTTTTATTGACGACACATTATCAAATGTCAATATATATAGACATATCAATTTGTTTTTAGGTTGAAGGTCATGAGAAGATGTCCTAAATCCCCAACTTGTTACTTGTCATTATAATCAAGCCCCAGAATCACTTTATTAACAGTTTAAATATTTACTATTCAATGTTTAGTAATTAGTTTGTTTTAAGAGTATTGTCTCACTTGTTGTGTTCACTAATTCCTTCATCTGTGTTCATGTACCCATATCAGCACAAAACATAATCCAATTTTTAAAATATGTTTTAAGAGTATTGTCTCCCTTGTTGTGTTCACTAATTCCTTCATCTGTGTTCATGTACCCATATCAGCACAAAACATAATCCAATTTTTAAAATATGTTTTAAGAGTATTAAGCAAAGTTGCACAAGTGAGATGGACGTGGCACTGTTTCAAGAACTCAATATTGCCTTAATGGATCTACTGCGTCTCTGGTTCACAGTTGGCCTACTAAATTTGGAAAGAATTACATGGAATTCTTCTTGTGATCTGGTTCAAAAGGTAGGTTAAAAAATGTATGAAGTATGTTTCATTTAAAATAGATGTTGCATAATGTAACACAAAGATATGACAAGGATTAAATTACAGAAGACCATAATTATTTTAAATTACTTGTAAAAGTAGTTAGCCTTATCCGTGAATTTTCAAAAGATAATATTCTATTGTATTATAGTAATTTTAGTTGAGGCTTATTTTCTGAAGCCATTGGCCATCATCTTTTGTCTTTTAACAAACGCTTATCAATACTGTTGTATTAAAAAAATGTGTTTGTGTCATGGATCATTTCTAATGAAACTGATGTGGATTGTTTGTAATGTTTATATAATTATCTTTAAAAAAAACAAAACATCTGAACTTGTCAGTCAAATTAGTTTTATCAAGGACATAAAGAAAAAATAGTGAAACAGGTGTTTGTTTAGTCTCGGATGGGTTTGCTCAGATGAGTGTGCTCTGATGGTGAATCTGCCTTTTTTAAGTCTCTGATGGTTCTGCTCCGATAGTGAATCTGCCTTTTTTAGTCTCTGATGGGTTTGCTCTGATGAGTGTGCTCTGATGGTGAATCTACCTTTTTTAGTCTCTGATGGGTTTGCTCAGATGAGTGTGCTCTGATGGTGAATCTGCCTTTTTTAAGTCTCTGATGGTTCTGCTCCGATAGTGAATCTGCCTTTTTTAGTCTGATGGGTTTGCTCTGATGAGTGTGCTCTGATGGTGAATCTGCCTTTTATAAGTCTCTGATGGGTCTGCTCTGATAGTGAATCTGCCTTTTTTAGTCTCTGATGGGTGTGCTTTGATGAGTGTGCTCTGATGGTGATTCCACCTTCTTAAGTCTCTGATTTGGTCTGCTCTGATAGTGAATCTACCTTTTTTAGTCTCTGTTGGATGTGCTCTGACTGTGAATCTGCCTTCCCAGGTTGCGCAATCTAAAGTGTTTTCTTTGAGCAAATATCCCTTGGTTTGAGGGATACTTATAGGCAATCTTTGAAATCTTTTTTTCTGAGCTCAAAATAATCACTTCCCTTTTGATAGTTGTTATAGCTGTTAAGGCACCCTGGTAACATGTTCAGCCCAATTTGGCTTGTCTTTTAAAAAGAGTGTGTGGATTCTTAAGAAACATCTAGCTATAAAACTTCTATATCAAGATCTTTTTCCTTCCACCATATGCCAAGAAGCTTGTGTATGTGTCTAGGGTTGAAATCATCATTTATTGTTGCTTACCCTTAGAAAGTGCTTATAAATATGTGAACTTTTCCTCTGGAGATGATGCCCGTTCACTGCAATGTGAGGTTCTTTGTAAGAGATTCCTGGAGCTGGCTGGTGCAGGAATAATGAAGATTTACTGGAACATTGAACTTAATCACTCACTGAAATTTTGAACTACTGACTATCCTGAGAATATTTACTTAATGATTCACTGAACTGAATGGACTTAACAATATCTTTTAGGCCACTATTTCCCTTTATTGGCTGGAGTGTCATCATGGAAAAATTCTTCTGTCCTTTTTTTTTTTTTTTAAAAATAAACCATACAAATTGTGCACCTCTTAACCACATGAGAACTTACATTGAAACATATTTCTCTACTATGCCATTAATTTTGATCAATCTTCTTGGAAGTTTTTCACCTATAATATATATTATTAATGAAAAAATTTTTCTGTTCTTTTTTTTTTTTTTAACAATAAACCATACAAATTGTGCACCTCTTAACCACATGAGAACTTACATTGAAACATATTTCTCTACTATGCCATTAATTTTGATCAATCTTCTTGGATGTTTTTCACCTATAATATATATTATTATCCATAGATTTTATACAATTGATTTTCTACTTTATAAGCAAACAAATGTTTTGAATGTTTATGAAAGAGATAATGTGCTCTTCTGTTGTTTAAAAAAAAAAAGATTTCTACTTATGAAGCAGTACACAGAATAAAAACATGGGAAGACATAAAGAGAAGAGTAGGTCCCTATAGACGATGTTACATATTTACTCACAACAGCATGCCAGGAGAGCCTGTTGTTGTCCTACACAGAGCGCTTACTACTGATATCTCATCTAATATTCAAGTGAGTTCATGTTAATTAATGAAACAAGTATGTCCTTAAATTAAAAAAATGTCCATGTCCCTGTGTTAAAAGCAAACATGCAGAGGCAGCATACTTAATGCTCTGCTGTTGTGATGCTATTTTTAGATTTGCCAATGAGTTATATGATGATATTAAAGTGGTATGAACAAAGAAACCCTGTGAATGTTGAAAAATTAAAAATTTTGTTAAATGGGTTTTACACGGAAAGCAAGCATTCATATGAAAATATCTTAGCCCTGATAGTGCAGTTTGAACTGAAAGCAAGCATTCATATGAAAATATCTTAGTCCTGATAGTGCAGTTTGAACTGAAAGCAAGCATTCATATGAAAATATCTTATTCCTGATAGTGCAGTTTGAACTGAAAGCAAGCATTCATATGAAAATATCTTAGTCCTGATAGTGCAGTTTGAACTGAAAGCAAGCATTCATATGAAAATATCTTAGTCCTGATAGTGCAGTTTGAACTGAAAGCAAGCATTCATATGAAAATATCTTAGTCCTGATAGTGCAGTTTGAACTGAAAGCAAGCATTCATATGAAAATATCTTAGTCCTGATAGTGCAGTTTGAACTTTTATATACCGGTATCAAGTTTTACATCTCACCTCAAGCAATATGTATCACTGAATGAATTTATCACTGTGTGCAGGTGTGATTGAGAGCAATGAGCATTCAGATATTATATAGTTAATTCTTTACTGAAATCCATCTGGCAGAGAGCTTGTGGCAAATGGAATCTTAAGAGACAACAAAATGTTATCACGACTCACTGGTGGTTTCAGTAACAAATATAGTGGACCTTTTTAGTATGAGATGTCATTGTTTGTACAAGTACAAATTGATTTGAGTGCTAGAATAGATCATGCTTACACTAGAGTTTTATCTAAAGTGGCTAACCAGGATGCAACTGTTTTGTTTTGAAGTTTCAAGATGCAAAGTAAAATATTTTAATTATAGGGGGTTTACTCTCATATTTGACTAGGGAAACGGTTCTATGTAAAAATCCAGAACTTCTCATCAATAAAATATTTGTATACCTATTGATTACAGACCATTATACCAAATGCAAGAGCTAGGCCAACAGTTTCCCTTGAAAAAAGCCTGGCAGATGCATGCGCTCCAGAAGAAGAGATTTCCCCATCGGCCTCTGGCACAGCTGAAAAGACCAATGACAATTTAGCCTCACAACACTATTTTGAGAAAGAAGAACAAGCAAATATAAAATGGGCAATATTTTATTCAATAACTTCAACACAGAAAGGTAATAAGACAGAAAGGTAATAACACTGAAAGGTAATACAACAGAAAAAATATTAATAAACAAAACAAAATATTCTATAAATACTTATGGGCTAAAGTTTGTTCACTTTTCTTATCAAATATTCATAACATTCAGATCAGTTGTTCAAACTTTTTTTAAATTTATAGACACTGAGAAGACACAGAAAAGCTACAGTTTGATCATGCTGGTAGAATGCTTTTAGCAAAATGAACGTAGGTCTCTAGGAATAGGAATATCTATAGTAATAGTTGTTCATCCGTCAAGATCAGTTAGGACCATCTAAGTATCCATCCTGTTAAAGGGGGTGGGGGGATCACTGTGAGTTCATAGTTGGCTTGCTAGTCCAATCCAGGCTCGGAATAGTCTCTGGCACCACAGGATATCTAACACAAGGTATCATGCCAGGGACATCATTTATTCTGATATATTTTTGAACATGCTAGGGCCGGCCTTAGGTGTAGGGTGTGTGTGTGTGTGGTGTGTGTGTGTTGGAATGTGTTCTACTTATCACAGAATGTAGGAATTTATGGGGTGTACCTGTCAATGTGGGCCTTAATGGAGATGCACCTGTGACTGGGGGCCTTTATGTTGATGTACCTTTGAATGTGGGTCTTTATGTTGACCTACCAGTGAATGTGAGCCTTTATGGTGATGTGCCTGTGATTGTGGGTCTTTATGGTGATATACCTGTGAATGTGGGTATTTCTGGTGATTTACCTGTGAATGTGGGTATTTAATGGTGATTTATCTGTGAATGTGGGTCTTTATGGTGATATACCTGTGAATGTGGGTATTTAATGGTGATTTATCTGTGAATGTGGGTCTTTATGGTGATTTACCTGTGAATGTGGGTCTTTATGGTGATTTACCTGTGAATGTGGGTATTTAATGGTGATTTATCTGTGAATGTGGGTCTTTATGGTGATATACCTGTGAATGTGGGTATTTAATGGTGATTTACCAGTGAATGTGGGTCTTTATGGTGATTTATCTGTGAATGTGGGTATTTAATGGTGATTTATCTGTGAATGTGGGTATTTAATGGTGATTTATCTGTGAATGTGGGTCTTTATGGTGATATACCTGTGAATGTGGGTATTTAATGGTGATTTATCTGTGAATGTTGGTCTTTATGGTGATTTACCTGTGAATGTGGGTATTTAATGGTGATTTATCTGTGAATGTGGGTCTTTATGGTGATATACCTGTGAATGTGGGTATTTAATGGTGATTTATCTGTGAATGTGGGTCTTTATGGTGATATACCTGTGAATGTGGGTCTTTATGGTGATTTACCTGTGAATGTAAGTCTTTATGGTGATGGACCTGTGAATGTGAGCTTTTATTTTTATGGGGCTTTGCCTGTGAATGTTGGCTGTCATGTTGATTGACCCAGCTATCCTCAACTTTCCTATTCACACTTCATGTAGTTTTTTTTTTTAATTAGTCATCACTTTTAAAATAGATGTAGGCATTCATTTAGATCCACATGATTTGATTGGTTGACTTTTCAAATGACGTCAGTAATTTTCTTTTATTGGGCTGGTCCTTTGTGCTTAAAAAGAAAATTAATTTTCTTCATTGTGGCTGTTATTTTTCATAATAACTGGCCTAAGAAAGTGTAAAATTGTTGACCGAAACTAAAGAACTCCATAGTAAAGATGAGTTACAAGAAGCTTTTTAGAAAAATGTATTTTACAACACTTTGAATGAAAGCAAATCAATATAATGCGACTATTCTTTATTCACATGCCTTATTGCTTACTTTTCATAAACTAATTCCAATCATGATATTTCGTTTGATAGGTTTACAAGGCATTGATTTGGGTAATTACCTTATCAAATCAGTTGTGCGGCGGTTGCAAGAAGAGTTTCCTCATCTTCAAAACTTCTCCAGTCTTTCACCAATACCAGGATTCAGGGATTGGATAGTTTCTACTCTTAACCACAGGATTAACCAACACAGTAAGCGTTGATCAAATGACTATTCAACTTTAACAAACAAATACCCCTTGTTTAAAGTTGTTTTGTAATTACCCATATTTTTTCCTCTAGTGCTGGGTGGCAGAGCGGCCTACACTGACTCAATCCAAATAGTTGGTGGTCTGGAGTTCAACACCCACCAAGCAAAAGAAACATCCCAAGCACTCGGAGTGGATAGGACTCTTTAGCCTTGGCAACTCATCTAAGAGAAGGCAAACTCTGAATTGAAACCAGGAGCCAGAATGATCAATAAATTGATAATGGCCCTTAAATATATATATTTTTGTAAAACGCAACTTGTATTGCCTTAATCTAAAAAATAATAAATAAGCCTCAGTTAAGGACGCCACATCAAAGCATGTAATTTTTTTTAGATATCTGCAAATCTAAAAAAAATGCTCCTTTATCAAATAGTTTAAGTAGATTTTTTAGTGTAAATCATGATTAAAATACATTTTGCAGTTTGAAGTATATTTATGATTCACTATTGAACTTGACCGGCACAGAGTGGAACTTAACAGATATACAATAAGTCTTTGAAATATCTGTCAATGTTGAATTTTCATTGCATGTGCCTTAAGAACTAATCATTATGAGAAATTAATATAATTTTCCTTTACAGTGTTTTCATTGTAAATTTATATCATATCAGTACTTAAAGTTTTAAAAATTTCATTTCCATAGAAAAAGTAAATTTTATTCTCAGGATTTTCCACAATCTATAAATGTTGTTTAAAGAATTTATGTTGTTTTAAATATCACCAATGACTTGACGGCAATTCCTCACAATGAAATAATAAGTTATGCTTAAAAAAATCAGAAATGATGTCCTTAGCATATCTCAAACATTATTAACATTTTGATTTGTTTCAATCTTAGATTTACGAGAAGATCCTGGTTTTCCTATTTCACTACAAGATTTGGAAGCCCTTGTGCCATATCAAAATGCAGATCACAATTCATTGCTGGACACTTTCAAAGATCAAATTTTATCACACAAATGGTACAGAGATCAAACTCTTCAGCGGGTTAGTCAAAACATTAAATACTAACGTATATATTTGTTTTTGTTCTGGTTTTTACAGATACTATCCTTTTTTTTTTAGTATATTCATATTTTTTAATTGCACCATGTTTTTGTACATGGGCTTAGTACATACTGGAATTTAGATTTGAACCCTAGACTGTCAAAGTAATTTTTTTGTACTTTACTTACAGTGCCACAAAGTAACCCCAAATATCTATAGAACTAGGCAAAGACAGTTCAGTGCTTTAGCAGTTACAACCTATTTTGACCATTGGCTCCAAGCACTTCATCCATTTTAGAAAGAAAATTAAAGACATTAAGTTTTGAACAGTATTTAGAGTGAATAATTCCTGATCCCTGATGCTTGGTACCTTGAACTTGAAAAAGAAGATACAATTAATAAACAAAAATAAGTTGCAATATACATAAAAATAATGCAATTTTTCTTTTAAATTATTTTTTTTATGAGTCAGAGCTAATCAGTGTAATGTGTGCATGGACAGAACATAATTTTATAAAGTTAAAGAAGAAAAAAAATGCATATTAAATTCTGTGTGGCCCTGTAAAATACAATTTTGATCATATATTAAAATTATACTGGTATTACTATTTAAGCATGTAGCTATGTTAGGAGGATTATAAATATCACACAGATTAAGACATTTATAAATATTTAATTTTTGAAAAATTTAGACTCTGTATTGTAAATTATCTTTGTTATTTGAGTATATTACTTTAAGGTAAACTTTTATTCTTAATTAATAACTTATTATTATCTTTTTTCTAAGTGTTCAACAAAATTCAAATCATTAATTAACCTGGATTGTATTTAGAAGGCATTTTAAAGCTTTGTGCATTACCCTTTACATTTATAATGATTTATAAATATAGGCTTTAATGTATTAAATTATTTTATAAAATAAATTTAATTTCCTAATGATCTGGTGATCTAATGTTACAAAATGTTAGCAACAGTGAGTTTTTGTATGGACATTATTGATTGCCATGATTAACTCATTTACTAATTTTCAAGTTTTATATAAAAGAAAATTAAAAGTAATTTATAAACACAATTTAAAAATAAACAGCTGATTTCTTATTGATAAAATTAAACTGTACACTGTAAATGGTTTCCTTGGTAAACATTTTTGTTGCTGTTTATTCCTTTTTTAAAACAATCGGTGAAGATGTACAAATATTTAAATGGATATAGTGCATGATCAAATACAGGAGTATCTTAACTAATTCCTGCTATGTTGTATATTAATTATTTAAGTTTTTTTTAAACTAAACATTTCTAAGAAAATTTGTTAAATATGTTTTTTTTATTACAGATTATGATGAGTCCACTAATGAGATTATGTGCGAATTATTTATACATTCAAAAAAGGAGAAATTATGCCTTAAATCCAGTGGGTAAGTTGTTTGTTCTCCACAAGAAACATCTGTTTGTTCTTCATAAGAAACATCTTTTTGTTTTCCATAAGACACATCTATTTTAGTCAAACTAGCAGGTTTACTTCAGCACAATTTAAATTGACGAAATCAATTATGAATTTTGTGAAAATCAGGATGAAAAAAATGTCAACAAATATCAAAACCTTAAATTGGCAGCATTAAAAAAAAAATTTTGACCAAATAAATGCTTACACACTTTAGGAAAAACAAATGGCATAAATGAAATTTATACTGGAGCTCATTGTCAACCAGAATTCAGGGATCCGCTGAGAAACCAGATTCAATATAGCATGGTCTATCTAATAATTAAACATAATTAAATTTATGTCTTCTCTGTAAGCCTGTCAGTGATCAGCAATAGGCCAAAGCCTATCAGTAATAGGCCAAAACCTGTCAGTAATATGCTAAAGCCTATCAGTCATAGGCAAAACCCTGTCATTAATAAGCCAAAGCCTTTCAGTAATAGGCCAAAACTGATAAGATTCAGATAGGTTCCTGATACTTTACTTGTTAAAAAGAAATGGTTAAAATATTAACAAACTTGATTTGACTTTCCAGCCAATTTCCACTTAAGCAATGGAGCTGTTCTATGGAGAATTAATTTTCTAGGGGATACATCGATCCGAGGTCTGAATCAATCTTGTGGATTAATGGTTAATTACCGCTACTTTCTTGATTCAACTGAGGCCAACAGTAGGAATTACCTAGAAAAACAACAGATTAGAGCATCAGCCGGAGTGTTGAAGTTGTTGGAGAAATAAATGCGGTGTGCAATTAAATAGGATGAAAATTTAGGAGGTACCCCCAAATTTAAAGTATTGAACATTATTTTGCCATATGCTAAAAATCTTCATAACTTTTATTAGGTACTCTCAAATGTAATTTTTGTTTCAGCCATTATATCATGAGATTTTAAGTTATATTTTAGGTTTCTACTGATCTGTTAGTGCTCTTATCCATGTTTACTTAGGCCTAAAAACACTACTATTAAAGCAATTTTTATTTTTACTATTTCAATTCCATTTTAAAGGAGGCTTTTAAATAATCAATTCTTTACAAGTGTATATGTAGTAGCAATCTGTTCATGAAGCTAGTTTGTCAATTTGTGCATCTCTGTAATTGTACTAAGACTTTATTTCAATAAAACCTCTCAATTCCTATTATGTTATAATCAACAGTGACACATTTTGTGTTCTTGATATACAATGTTTAAAATAAAAATGATTACCGTATGACTTTTGCTGTGCGGCATATAAAAATTCCATAATAGTAAAATAAATAATCAAAATTAAGTTATTAACGGGCTAAAAACATGTTATTGTAATTGAATACTCGGACCAAAAAATTTTTATTTTTTTTAAACCTTCAGATGATCCTAATCAGAAAGACAAAGTGCATGATCATTGGAGGTACTGTTTGGAGTCTGAGGGACTCAGTACATCTTAGAATCAAGATTAGGACCTCAATTAAACCAAATAATTGCATTCATTACATTTGTCAGTGATATATACATATATTTAAGTATAGTTATTACACTAATTCAGTGGTACTCACCAAGTGGGTATGGACACCCTAGGTCGAGTAGCAAAATACACAAATTTGATTGGTTGTTTAAAATGTTAATCTATTTCTTATTTGTAACACCTTTTGTTTTATATTTAGAATTTGTTGTGGGTTGTAACAACTTTACAAATGCTATCAATGGGTCGCTGTGATAAAATGCTTGATACCACTGCAATCATTTATTAAATTATGAAATTGTCTGGAAAGTTTTAATAATTGTAATCCTCAAATACATATCAAATCACATTTCATAACTGCGGAGCAAGTATGCAATGTATAATCTATGCAATCTATACTCTTGCCTTGTGTTGTCCTCTTGCCTTTTGTTGGGCACTAGCCTTGTGTTGTCCATTCGCCTTGTGTTGTTCGCTAGCTTTGTGACGTCCACTTGCCTTTTGTTGCAGACATTTTCATTCTGTTTACATTTTTTACTTCTTGTTACCATGCCTAGTTATGGCTGTAATTTAACCTTATTTTGGTTTACATACGAAAAAAAAGTGTTTGAATGCTTTTATACAAGCAAATACAATTGAAATGACAATTGTTTTGATTATTACGCATTTTCCATATTTCTCTATTATTAGTTAAAGATATTTGGGCCTTCATTCATATTGGGGAGAGTGAAGAAATTATTGCAAAATCGAAATTAATTTCATGATGTTAAATGTGTAGAAAAAATAGGTTTTATTTTATTCTAAATTATAAATGCAGAAAAAATATGTTTATTTAATATTATATGTTAATATTTGTATGTGTAGCACACAAAAAACTGTTGGCACACATGCAGAAAAAATAGTTATTTTGTTATTATAAGTGCAGAAAAAATATTATTTTATGATTTTAAATGTGCAGAAAAAAATGAATACAATGCAAACCGGTTCCTTTACTACTTTCTACATTTATGTATGTATACATTTCTAGAGGAGAAAGGAATTTCTAAATATGTTTATTGTGCAATTGATATTTTAATTATTTTCTATTAGATAAATTGTTGGCTCAGATAAATTGTTAGCCTAGATACATGTTGCATTTAAAATTTCATGCGTTTTAACTTTTGCCATGTTTGATGTATGTGATTCATTCCATTTAACATGTAGGTGTTTAACTTTGTAAAGAGTAAGTGTACACATATTTTGTGTTTCTTTCTGTTGATTGTGGCCAATAATGGAAAAGAAAAACGCAATACCAATTCCATATTTTCTAATGGGCCACCATCAATGCCACTAGTATATGCTTAATCTGACTTGCCCATATGCTGTGTTTATTTCATTTCCTACTTGGTCACACTCCATCTTCTTTGTGCTCTATTCACTTTCTCATCTTTTATTTTATGTATTTGAATTCTTCCTTGATTTGTGTTTTATTATGGAGTAAACTTGAAATGTGTTTTGTAAGAGGTTTTTAGTTCGACAGCCTCTTTCTTCAGGTAGGGATTCCCATAGGCAGCCCAGATGTCTTGCAGGCATTACTACATTGGAATTGGTGGTTGTGTTTATTAATGAATAATTTGAGACAAATGCATGGTAGGCTTGTCTCATTGCTAAGCAGGGGAAATATGTGTGTTTGTATTATTAGCATTTAATTTTTTTATTTTTTTTAATGTGTAAAATTGGAAATAATAAAATTTAATTTAAAAAAAAATACTTGTACTTGTATTGTTCTTTTTTAAAAAAGTGTCTATATTATGCACAGAGCTATAAATATATAGAGTGCGCGCTAGTCATGCGCAAAGAAGGAAAGTGTGAAGCTAGCTCATCGAGTGAATGCCCTTGCGTATGCACCTCTCATCTTAGTTCCTGTCTGCAGAAGAAGAAGAAAATCATAATAAAATGCCTTGCTGTGCTGCATATAATTGTGCCACAAAAGATTCAAAACAATCCAGAGAGCAAGGAATCACTTTTCACCGGTATGTTGATAGTTTGTGTTTCATTTAACTTAGCTTGAATAGGATTTAATTTTCAAGATCCAGCTGAATTTGTTAACTTATCATGCATGATAAATCATGATCCATTTTGACTAGACTAGCGCTTTTTGACTAGACGTCGAGTCTGAGTTAATATTATATTATTAGGCTATTACTATTAATAAAACTATTAAAATTATAGTAGTATTAGTCTTTATTATGATAGTACAGAACAAAGTAAAGTGATAGTAGTACTTGTAGGCCGATGTAGTACTTAGTAAAAGTAGGCTATTATAAATTATTATTTTAGTTTTTATGGGCAAAGTAGTACTACTAGCCTACAGTCAACAGTACTAGTATAAAATAAACAATAAATATCAATATATATGCTCGCTAATGTTTTGCTTATCATGATTAAAAGAAGAATAGACAAACAAATGCACAAGTAGTGAAAAGAAAAAATGTCTTAAAAATGATTAAATGCATTATTGTATGATTGTATGTCTCTTATTATAACTTATATAGATTCCCATTGAAGAACCAGGAACTTCTGAAGAAATGGCTTCAAAAAATCAGAAGAGACAAATTCACACCTTCACCAAGAGCTATTTTATGTTCGGCCCATTTTGACGAAGACTGTTTCTACAGGTTTGGAGAAAAAACAACACTCCAGCCGCTGGCCATGCCAACAAAGTTTAAATGCATAATAAAGAAAGCATTGTACTGTACAAGTTAAATTTGTACAACACTAAAAAGCTAAACAATACAAAACTAAGCAATGATATTTTTAAGGGAAAAAAATATTTAAATTTGAATCTGCTATTACCGCACGCAGTATGAACTGTAGATCTTCCAAAAAGCAGAAGGTCTATGACATATATTATGTTTAATGAGTATAGAGCATGGATGTAAAAAATTATTAATCTGAATTGTTTTTTTGTTGTTTTGTTTTTAGGAAATAAAGTCACAAAGAAAAGCACCAAAGACCAGGACTTCCTCAGATGTGACATTAGAATTTAATGCCAATCAACTTCCGCCATCTAAAGTTCACCCCGGAGAAGACCACAACTATTGCGTTTTGGAATCACCGCGGAAACTTAAACGCAAACTTGCTGATGCAATTGAAAAAGTAGAATCTGTCCAGAGAAAGTTGAAATTAAGTCAGCAAAAAGTAAGACGTAAGAAGAAACAGATTATGACAATGCAACAAATTACTATGGCACTTAAAGACAAAGATCTTCTTTCTGAGAGATGTGCAGAGACCCTTGAAAAATATTCAGGGCTACCTAAATTGATTTTGGAAAGAATGTCAAAAGGTACACAAGCAGGGGAGTACTCAGACGAACTCAGTGCATTTGCTATGACATTAAAATTTTATTCCAGCAAAGTGCACAATTTTGTGCGCGAAACATTTCATTGTGCCCTTCCACATCCATCGCAGATACGTCGTTGGTACAGTTCCATTCCAGACTCGGCAGGTTTCACATCATCCTCTTTTGCAGCATTTCATCAGCGAGTAGAAGAGGCCAAATGCAAAAACAAAAAAGTAATTGTCTGTCTTATGCTAGATGAGATGGCAATCAGAAAGCATGTACAATTTGATGGAACCAAATTTCATGGCTACATTTTGTTATCATAAAAACTGTTTCCTTATGCTACACCAAAGTACTTTTTCACCATCTGGCAAAGCGCAAGACAGAATCAGAGATTGGGATTAAAATCCGCAAACAAGCTTCTAAACTTATTCGGTTTAAACACCAGTGAAGAGATTGACTTGGGGCTTTGTCCAAAATGTGGTAGTTCTGTTTCATAACATAAGTCTGAATTAAAAAACAACATTGTCCAATGTCCTTAATTGCGCATAGCCGCTATTCGGACTCGAGTCCCTTTAGACTAAATCCAAATTGGATGTCATTTATGGTAGTTTATTTTAGTTGAACTGAAGAAGTACGTTTACAAACATATATTCCATTCCTTTATCTTTCATTTGATACCTTATTTTGTCTTACAAACCGAACAATAATATTTTAAATATTCTTTTAATCCCGACCTCTCTTCTCTGATACCTGGGTCATGCGAATAGCCACTTCGTACAAAAAATTTAAACTGAATTTGATTATGAAATTTACCATGTCATTGTTATTGTAACATTTTACAACTGCAACATGTAAAACAAACGACAACGTTGCTTGATGACGGGGATGCCATCATAACTAATTTTCATGTGTTTTGTGTTTTAAATTTGATGTAGATACTAGATATCTTGCTTCTTAATCTTTTATGATTTAAAAAAAAAATTGCTCAATTTTTGTGAACATGCCTTGCTGAAATGATCCTTTTGTTCTTATAAATTGATTTTCATTAATACTAATTTATAGTTAATGATTCCTGCAGATTTTATATATCTACCGGCACAAATGTTTTTAAGGTGATGGACATTCTAAATGTTCAGATTGAAAATACCCATTTTTATCATATTTATTGAGCAGAAATGTGTGTCCTAAACTTAGGTCTGTTGCTTTATTATTAATAAGATTAATTTGTTCTACAATACTGTGTAAAATTTGTTAGGATATCTTACTTCGTTAATTTTTTAAGGATTTTTTAAAATCTATGAAATTCCTAGTTTTTGTGAACAGGCAGTGCTGAAATAATTTCTGTAACATATTTTGTTGTTTTCACCATTACCTCATATTTCACATTGATGTGCTTTAAATTACCTTTTACTTGAAACCTGTATTTTTAGAATAGCTTAATTGATTGATTAGTTATGATTTTTTAAAAATGGACTAAAATTGACTTTTTGTAAAATTGAGCTTTGGCTCGTTTTCGGGTGAATAAAAATTGTTTTTACATTTTAGTGACAACCCTGACAAAATTGAGTTTGTTATATGTATAACTGGTTGTGTGTGCAAGAGATTTGAAAGTTCCAACTTAATTATTTTAGAAGATAGCGGGTGCCAAAACTACTCTTTCCTGTCGTCTAAAATTAAAAATTGACCCGTCTCCTGATTTCTTTATTAATATTGGAGATAGAGATTTAAAAATGTGTGGTTCTGTTCTGATTAAGCCAAGCTCTATTTAGGAGAATAGTTTTAAGTTTAATTTGATTTAAATTCATTATGAAATTTTCATTTAGAGTACCCGGTACTTAATATTACTGGGTGTATCCTACTTTGCTGGAGGGTAAGAAGATTTACACTGTAGGCAATGTAAAAATGGAAAGGGCAGCTTGTATTGATCTTGGAAAGAAGCATTTCAGCAAACGACATATTTTAAAGTACTATTTACTTCACAATAGATATGAGTTTATTATTATGGCAGAGGAAATAACAAATATAAAATGTATATTATTGCTATATTTATTAGTTGACATCAAAACGAAATTTGATAGACACGGTACAATTCTTTTAGTTTGTCTCAATAGTTACGTCAATAAACGAGGTTAAAAACTTTATAATTATAAGATAATAATATAAATAAATAATATTTAAAAAATTAATATAGCCTATACCGTAATTAATTTTATATATATGGCATACTATAGCCTACTACTAGATTATTATATTATATGCCATGCTCTGTTGATCATAGTAATAATAGTAATATGAGAATCCCTTTGTGTGGGGACTATCACTAAGCAAAACAAAAATCGATGCCATGCAGATAATTTCTTTGAATTTGAGTATTATCATAATGTTGATCGCTCGAAACAAGCCGTAGTTTCACTCTGAAATTATGGAAATCTACCGAGGACGTTCTGTTTGCGAGAAAACGATGGGGTGCATGGTAAGGGGAAATAACTCTCCA